AAAAATAAAAATTCAGAATCAACTGCAAAATGCTCATATTTTGCCCTGAACAGTTGAAAACAGTCCTTTTCTTACTACTTGTTACAGTCATTCCATATTTCATTGCAGTGGTATCATTAAAAGTTCAAAATTCATTGTTTAAAAGTTGAACCAGCCTGGTGTGTTGACTTCATGGCTCCTATCGTACCATTTTGGGCCATAATAGGATGCCTAGGCCTGTTTTATATTTTTTTATTTTCGCCCGCCCGCTCCATTATTTTTCTAGAAAAATCCGTTAACCAAGAAATTAAATTGGTGTGGCCTTAGCTCCAAAATTCTTGTAGCCATTGTTTCATGTAAATGTAGAAAAAGTTTTCAAGTCCTTATGCAAGTTTTTACCATAGTAGTTTTCACAGTTGTATTGGGCCTGTGGTATAGATGAAAATACTTGGCAGTCAGCTTATTTTCTTAACAGTAATGAGGACCAGAGTGCTTTACCATTGCAAACACATTTTCCAGACCATTTAGCTGGCTGTATAGTAATCTTCCTACGGTTCTAGAAATCCTGTTCCTGCTTGCAAGGGTTTCTTTTGTCTCCAATTTTTCCACTTTTGCTAATCTTCCTATAGTGGGTTCTAAGCTGGATTTAAGTGGGCAAGAATACCCCAAGGGAGGTAGTATTATTCTTACTATTGTCATATCTTTAGACATACTTGTAACTTTAATCCTTCCTTTTTTCCCTGTCATCCTGGCAATTGAGATGCCAGAATTTTAGTCGGCCCATTTTGCAGCCTAGGAGGTAAGGATGCCCTGCACTGGGGAGCAATTTGTAGTGTGGCGTGTCTATAAATATATGTACATCTTTCAGAATATATATTCTGTCGTGGCTTATCAGGACCACCATTTCTTTGTACCTTTGCAACAAATGGATATTTATGGTGAGACTACCTGGCATGGTTTATGACTCCCCTGTTCACTGAAGATACCACAGTAATGGACTGTAAAGTAGGATGATATAGTCTATAAAGTAGGGCGATACAGACTGTAAAGTATAGGAGATACAGGTTCTTTTAAATCCCATAGAAAAAAAAATTCTGCAGAATGTTGAAAAAAAGTTGCTGTTTCATTATCTTTTATGCAAATGACTTCCTTACAGTGTTGGTAATCTGAGAACTTGAGTTCGTTATTGTCGGCAAATCTCCGATTATTTGCATGAGTGAAAATTGTCCCTAATTTAGTGGTGAGAGGTTCCTAATGCTGTTGTGTGCGTCCATGGGGACTTATTGTTCAGACAACATAGCTGACTGGAGAAGGGAACCAAGGCAAGGCAGCCAGCCACCATGGAATGTTGGGGAAAGATTGATTGGAATGTCCCCGGCCACAGATTGAAAATTTCAGACATTTAATAAGTCAGGAAGCCTTCGGGATTTGAAGAAAAAAATTGCTAGTGATTTACTGGTGATGACAGATTCCCTCAAGGCTTCAAGAAGTCGCCATTGTTATAATATTTTTTGTGCAGATGAATTATGATTTTGTCTCCTGGTTTGGCATGTTAGTCAAATTGAGTGAAATTTTTTTGAAGGTTTTCCTATCATTCATGCGAGAAAATTTATCTGGTTGTTATTGAAGTAAAGGTTCAGCTGTTAGCACCTAGGAAGTGTAAAAGAAACTAGGAAGTGTAAAAGAAACTAGAAAGTGTAAAAGAAATACTGGCAAGACTTTCTGAAATTTTTAGTATCATCTATACTTTCTAAATTCCAAGTGGTGCAGATAAAATTTGTTGGATGCAGATAATTTTCATCAATGTTACCTATACTAGTGCAGGTATGAAGAAAACATTATTTCAAGTCCAGGAGTTGAATGTAGATATGTACATTGTATTGATTTTTACAGTGTGCACAAAGAGATGGGTAGGTACTCATCAGACCATAGGCTTTGTGGAGTTGGTTTCCTTGGTTTGATGACCAGCCCTTGGGGAGTAGACTGCACAAGCTTGGGCAGCCCCCTTACTGATGAGAGCCTGTGTAGGGTAGATGTAATTGGGTCTCATAGTCAGGATTTGTTTTTACAAGTCTGACCTCTAGCACACACACAAGGATTCTCCCTTTCAAGGAAAACCTCATCAGAATATTATTGCAGGCCCGCTGTCTTATTTTCCTACAGATTGATTGCGACTCCAGAGACTGTTGTGTCTAGTTGAAACCTGATTCCGCTGGGTTTTAAGATGAGTTAATGGTATTAGGTTGGTTTTGTCTCTGGGTAATTAGTTTCCTGGCTACTCAGCGGATGGTGGTGTGGGCCCTGTTTCTGACAGCTGAGATGGGCTTGGCGTGGTGTTTCACCTGAAGCTAGCAGCAGGCGTCTAGACATGGCCAGTTGGTTCACATCACCAGCAGGTATTACTAGTACTGAGCTCTGGTTCCAGGGGCTGGGGGTGTTGATGTTCACGTCTGTATTTTGGGAAATGACATCATTGCCAGTAACAGGTACTTGTTGTCAAGTTGACTACACAGCACACTGGACAAAGACCTGATTTACACATGGGCAAAAATCTGACATTACGAAAACTACATAAACTCAAAAATTGAGAAGAAGGCAAGGAGGCAAAGCAACAATTAATACAGCACTGATAGTTGACCTTTTACTATGTATTCTCTTATATTTGTTCTCCTAGTAGTAAACTTCATTAAAATTTTCTGTCAGATCAAAGACTAAAGAAATAGAGCACTGTTTCGGAAGCAAGACATTAAGTTTTGTTATGTTCTTCCAAGTTGGAATGGAAGAAGAACATGAAATGGTCGGTCCCTTCCAAGCCCTGTCCTCTTCTCTCAGGCCAGTCTATAAAACTTGTGGACCTCACTCCACAGGAGGGCCTCTTTTGCAAGTAATTGCTATAAAGCACAAGCTACTGATAGACACCAGATGGGCATGGGCCCAAGAATCCGGCCACCCTTTCTTCCTGTTACAGTGGACTATTCCAGGCTCAAATAAACTTTCAGGGTCTGAAGATTTGGTACATACCACTTGTCTGTAGGGGTGATTATTACAACAGTTGTTACTTTTCAATGGTTGGGTCCTTTGCTGAATCAGACTATTCATGCCATTTATCAACAAATTATTTTAGGTTTTCCATGCTGATAAGAAACCAAATGCTATGTCAACAAAGCAATCATCAATCAGATGACAATCTTTTAAAAACATTAGAAAGACAAACAAACTGGGAATCCATCCTCATTATCATAAGAATGGGGCCTTGCATCCTGCCCACCCCTGTGAGCAGTGGTGGTCTGTTCCTTATCAGTCAGTAATATAATCTTGGGAGAGCAGGCAGGACCTTGCTGTAAGTGGACAGTGTATTTAGACGTTCTGGCAAATATTTAGGTAAGTTCCGTGTGTTTATAAGACTTTAAAGGGACAGGGTTTTAAAGTTCTCTGTTCAGCCTTGCTGGTGTGGTAAAGCATGGAGTTTGGTTAGTTGGATTTCCATTTTGTGCTTGCTAGAAGGGTATGGTTGTGTTCAAGGAGTACATGGCCCATGCTCTGATGGAAAGAAGCTAATTTTCATGGACTTCTCGTAACATTCCATGTGTATTGTATGGAAAAAGAAAGTTTGAAACTTTCCTTTTACCTTATCTTCAAGGAGTTTGATGCCTGAGAAACTTGAATGTTGTCTAGACTCTGGATTTCCTTGGTCTTCACAAAGTGCCTTGTTAGTAGAGTTCGACTGTTTCCAAGGTTTTCTGCAAGTCTTTCATCTCTCACTGTGATACACATAGGAATGGACTAATTGTGCTCGAACAAAGAATCTCCTATCACGAAAACCTTTTAACTCGGACCTCCATAGGAGTGAGCTAGCTGAACCATAGTTGCAAGCTCTGGAGATTGCCGGGAAAAGGGATACTTTTTCGTCTAAGTCTCTTCTAAGAGACCAAAGGGTTGGGGTCGGTGTCAAATACTTAGGAAGATATGCTGCAGCTGTTTTCCTCTTGGTGCTTTTGTTACCAGTATGAGCATTAACCCTGCAATATGTTTGTTTGGGTAACGTTGTCTCTCTTGAATGATTTCTACGCGGTTTGTTCTTGGACTTCGTAAAACATGGACAGAAATTAGCTTCGTATGTCACATAGATAGGCTGTGCTGTAGTTGCAAGTAAGTATGTTGCCAATTTTAGGACATATTTCTGGGTCATCTGTTGTTTGGATCTTACGTTTTTGAAATAGAGTCGGTTATATCTTACACATGGTCCGTATCAAGGAGGAATTTTTACAGCACTGACTTGTTGCAGTATCAAGTCCAAACATGGTGTCCAGATGCCCTTGATTTGTGGAAGGACAACAGTGTGTCCAACTGGGCTCTTGCTTTTGAACCAACAACTGCCCACACAAAAATCAACATATCATCTAATTCTTTTCTTACCGATTTATTTGGTCCATTAGGAATCCATTGTTCTAGGTGTGAACATGCATAAAGCATGTTTGTTCCAATGGGTCCCATTTTGTGAAATTTCACACATTAAATCAGTAGGGGGTTTGGGGGATGATACAGCTTGATGTGGGGTGACAGCTGTTCATGCAAGTTCAGGCCGTTATCTGGTCCCCATCTGTAGCACGCAAAGACGGGAGAAAGAAATCCTGACAACTTTTCTTCTAGAACCCTCCTAAAATATACATGTCCTCTCTGCGAACTTTTTGGTACTATTATATCATATTCAGGTGTCACCTACTATGTATATTTGAAACAAAGCAGGAAAGATACTGGATGTGTGAAGCAAATTTACTTTCAACCCTGACCTCATGCCGGCAGAGTTGTGTTTATTTCGGTGGTAAAGCTGCTTCTCATTACTGGTTACCCCTGCTACAGGGATGCTTACCCTGGTGGGATCAGGAGGTATAAGCTGTTTGTTAGGGGTTGATGAGTATATTCTGCCAATGTGCTTTGTTCCACCCTTGTATTCTACATGATAATTAGATTTAATCAGGTGTAATCAACATGACTGACCTGCTGTTTTTCTTTCCTTTCAGAGTTTGATTGTGGTAGAGTGACCTCCTGGGAAGGTCCCGCCAAGATGACGGCGACAGCCAACCAGCAGCCGGCCTGCAAGTCACATGACTCCCAGCACCAACCACAGGAGTGCTGCCACCCTCAGAACTTGGACAGTGCAAATCAAAGCAACATGGCAGTGCCAAGCCTTCTCGTAGATGTTTTCTGTACATATTCCTCTAGAAGACGAGGCTCGATATCCGAGTCCAGATTGACGTACACAGGGACTCTGTTAGCAGTGCTAGTGGTGTGCTTGCTGAATTTTTCTGCGGCGGGCGCATCTAAACAACACGAATCCAACGATGTCGTCACGTGGCTCGAAATGTACCCGGTTTCGCCGGTAACGGACGCGACAGTGAAGAGCAATGTTCCAGTTTCTGTGCTGTGGGGCGTCCCAGACCTGACTGTTGTGGTCGGAAGGTTGTTGCAGTTTACCATACCTCCAGATGCCTTCAAGGGCGACATTGCAAACTACAAGGTATGTACCAGTCTCATCCATGATATATTAGCTCCATATGTATTATGTGATAATACAGTATGTGATAATGTAGGCATGATGATTATTACATACAGGTAAGCCAAACGATTTCTGTCCTGGTTGTATGGGCTTTTTTTTCTAATTGGTATCCTTATGTCACTGCTTTCTCAGTAAAAAGCTAGATTAGTACTGTAAATCTCTTAATGTTCTCGGTAGCAAAGGTTCACGGTCTGAGAAAAATGGAATAGTTCGCAGAACTATACATTCCCCCTTGCGGCAGGTGCAGCAAAAAGAAAGTCGGCAAATTATTTGGTCACGTTAACGAAAACCGCAAATATAGAAGTACCAGGGAAAAATAGTGCATTACGGTAATTCCAACATGTCTGAAAAATGCAGTTTTTAGCTGCATAGAACACCAGATGTTACCAACGTAAATAAAGGGAGCTGGTAAGTGGATACAGGCACTGGGAGGGCCACTTGTAGGCCATAAAGGTGGTAAAATGCTCATAACATGCACGACAAGTTTCCCGGCGCACGGCGTGAATACTGATGCCAGAATTAGTCGTGGCGTCCTGATTGCCACCTCTTGAACACGGTTGTTGAAGGGCACAAAGCGGTGGAACAAAATGCATACCTATTGGTGGGGAAATCTCTGGGGTTTCGCCGGAAAACCGAAGGTTGGAACGTCATAAAAATTCCGAGCCAGGTGGATGGGCTGCGCATTCGTGGGAGGAGATAATGATTTCAACTGAGGGATGCTTTCAACAGGCTGGGGTATGATATATGAGGTATGATATATACCCCAATTGCAGGCAAGAAAAAAAATGAACAGAAGGAAAATTACGTACGCACAAGAGCATACGAAAACTGCATACGTCAAATTTTTCCTTTGTGTAAATCGGCTTCTCTTAAACAAACTTCAACAATGTAGATTCAGATCATACATTACCTCAAGGGCTGGCATACATCTGAATATATCATATTTTGACAATGTAAATTGGGTTAATAATTGTTTCCTAAGATTTGGTCTGGCCATATTGATCAATTATCACTTTTCAAGATGAAGGAAGAAAGACAGCTCAACATTGAGCATGATTAACTAGAAAAGTTGAAGGAAGAGATTGAGATTGCAGGGATAGGTATATAAAAGTTACCAACATTTTACTGCACATTTGATACTGCCTCGTATATTTTGAAAATGCTTTCGATAATTCCTTGATATCTAGCTCAAATTTCCAAGCACTGTAGTTCATGTTCAAATGAAGTTCAGTGGCCCCTTTAGTTAACCAACATTTAAGATCTGTTTTTGCCTGTCAACTTTACAATCCATTTGTCAAGTGCACTTCATCAACTTGTGCACACTTCCTTTTCAGACTTCCTCTGTAGTGAATAACTTCCTGTTTATTATAGTCAGACTATGGGGTGTGAGTAAGCAAACAGGAACAGCATCGGACCCCCTGGAGGTTATCTGATTGGCAAGTTTGTGTCAAAACCAACAGAAAAGTACTTCTGATGGGGAAAATTGTCACATTTGCATGAGAGTGAAAATCCAACCATAGCAGCTGTCTGTATAATAGTTGATGGTTGTTCCCGTTTCAAAGTAGAGAAGCAAATTCAAAAATCTTTAAAAAAAAAAGAAACGGCTGTAAAAGAGTGATAACTTGTGTTAGCATGAAAGTTCTTCTGAGTCAATAAATTACATACCAGGGTACTGTTCTCTGACCAAAGAATTTGGCCCACCATAATTTTTTATCTAATGTCTCAGTTGATGACCGAGAGATTTGGTTGAAAATAAACCAGTAAGTCAAATTCTCTTGAGCTGGAGAACAGTTTGTTTCTCATAATGAACACTCATGTGTTGACTCAAAGAAAGCAGTTAGTCACAGACAAATATCTAGACGTCAGCAAAAATAAAATGGAAAAATGAATCTTTGCAGTTACAGCACAATTTCCAGACCTTACCACACTGCTCCCATTAGGCCATTCTGTATAATCCAGCGCCCCCATCTTTTCTAACACTATAGAGTTCATTAAAGCATCCCCCACGGCTTCTGCTGCCCATTTCGGACACCATTTCGGCCGTTTGCAACCTTGAAGTCCATACCAATCAGCTGTAATCACCTCAGCAGCACGAGGGCAGTGAACTCATATTTTCACACCTTCTTTTATCTGGGTTACAACCAAGGAAAAAGTGATAAAAAGCACAGACATAGAATATATAATGCGACAATTATATTACATAACACGATAAACCGGACAGTGAGTGTGTATATGACATAACAGATGATAAGATTTGTTTTGAGTGAAGTTTTGGAAGCAGACAGAATGTTAAGTTAGCCTGTAGATAGGTCCTGGAAGCCTGCCTGTTCTATAATCTTATTTTCATGTTGAAATGTTGAAACGTAATGTGATAAATCAGGTGCCCATCTCTCATCTCTTATTATTCTCCTCTCGTACCATGTTGGGGCTACAAGCGGCCACAGTAAGCCATTTTGGCCGTCGTCCAACGGAACATCCTTGCTTGCTTCCTGAGTAGCCCATATTCAACTTGTAATGACCGCATTTGTGATGTTAGGTCGAGCCGTTTACATCTGAATCCCTTCTCCTGAATGCCAAATCGCCGATTCTGGGCCGACCTTTGGCAGAAGGATCCATGAACGATGAATTTGATTGCTGTCTGTCGAGCCCCCAGTTTCTCTGGGCCAAGAAAACAGCTTTAAACTCTCTCTATTCGTTCCCACACCTATTTTTAACGGATTAATTATGACTCAAAACAGCCCTTGCTCTTTGTCTTACCATAGCTCAGGGGATAATATAGAAATAAGAATTGCACAAAGGATACTTTCTGAGCCAAATCTGACAGCAAAGTTGCTGAAAACATTCATGGATTATACGTAATGGAATGAATGGCTTACTGAATAATTCCTAATGCGTCTATGAGTATGACTTCTAACAACCTGTGCCCTTGATGTGTCTGAATTTTCTATTGTTGTGGTTACCTCCCATGAAGTGCATGGAGGCACTTGACTGAACCTGAATTTTTAGGAGACACTGGTTGGCAGAAAAAAGGCAGCTTGACATGTTCAAAAGGATCTCCTAAAGCTTGTTCCAGATGAAAGGATTTTTAACAGTCATTTCATCCTTACTCCCGTCATTCCATCAATTAGAAAGATCAAAGCAGCACCTTCCCTTCATTTCAGTCTATGGGAGTGGTTTCTATTGAATATTCCCATTAGAGAATTGTCCGGATAGTTACTGTACATGAAAACATCATCCTTGCCCTTGTTCAATGAAAAGCATCTTCCCTGGATTTGAATTTTGATGAAGTCTTCAGTACATTAATGATTTTTCAATGGTTACATGTAGCTTCACAGAAGATAATTGGTAAGCCAGTTGTTGTTCTTTCTGTGAGTCACTGATGACCCAGCAAAGGTGACTCCTACCTGCAGCTGATGTTCATTACTGTGACAATCTTACGCTCACCAGACATTCATCTTACCAGTAGAGGGAACAGCAAAGGAAGGAGAGGTGGAGATAGTCCCTCCTGCTGCGCAACGATAACCGCCGCAGCAGCTATAAACTAACCTGAAACGGCAGTTATATTAAGTGAAGTATATGGGTGGCGCAGGGGGTAGCTTTGGAAGAACCGTAACTTAACGAGTCCCGTGCTCGGAATGGCCTTAGCGGTATTATCAGTTCCACACCCATTATGGCGAACCTTCCCGACGTGGCCGGGGGACAATTGTTATCAGTGATGTAAGACTGGGGAAGCTGGAGGAAGGACTGGTTTACGGAGATGTGTGGCAACATAAAACCATCTCTGTGTCTAGTAAAGCTCCAGAGTTAGAGAGGACATGCCAAAACAACAATGGAAGATCTATTACCGATACGCTCGTCCTTACACGCTGCCCCTCGTAGTTTGACATTAAAAGTGACTCCACTCCATAGACAGAAGAGGACGGATTGTCTTCATGACAGTTTGTTTGACAGCGGGGGTAGGATGGTAGGAGTTTCACACGGTTGTCAGGTCTAATGGTGTAGTATGAAGATGATTCCCCTGCTCCTTTATCTTTTGCTTGGGGCGACATAAACCTAAACCTGACGTACGAAAACTAGGTATGCTCACAAGCATATGAAAACTGCATACATCAAATAATTCCTACGTTCAAATCGGCCTGCTTTGACATACGTCAAGACCGTATGTTCAGATCATATGCCAGCCCTTGAGGTGATGTGTGATCTGAACATACATCAAAGCAGGCTGATTGGAAGAATTCAGCATGCACAGTTTTTGTATAAAGATTCCGTATGTCAGGCTTTTGTCACATAGACCCACCAACTGCATCCCGGAAGGCGTAATAACATTGTAAATTCTGCCAGGTGGAAGCGGACGGTTTGATTCCATCAAGAAACAGTTCATATAGCTGTTGATGTCATTTGAGCTGCGGCAAAAGTGGCAGGTCATTAATTTTCCATGTAACTCGGAATATTAAGCAAGGAAAATGAGATTCCAATCCAATTTCAGAGACAATTAGGACCATTTCTGTGTGTAAATCTCCTCCCGGGCATTGTAACACTGTGCAGATTATTCTATTTGTTTGAGTCCTGTGTGTAAAATTGCCATCCGTGCAGACATCCTGATGATAAAAATATCGCCCTGGAATCAGACTGCCCCTTTCAAGCTCTCTCACAAAGTCATTTAGCTGTGGAATCGCTTCTTCATCCCTGGGCTGAGGCAGATAAGGATATAAATTTGCAGGGAAGAAAGGCCCAACTGTTGCCATTGAAGTAGAAACTTCACAGTGAAAATGCCCAGGATCAATGTTGCCCCATTTCTTGCAACCTGAGTTGCATGATTCATGTCTCAGTCTTGACAGCCAGTAAGTGCGTGCCACTCCTTTGTAAGTAAGTAGTGCATAACATCACGGAAGAGTTGCGTGAGACCACGGGAGATCGTAAGAAAATTTGAAGTTGAACCATAAAGACATAGAAATGCGGAT